ACCGACCAAACACCATTCTTTTTGGTTATGAGTAGTTTGTCAAACGTGTGTGTAGGATTTCTTTTTCGAGATTTTACATACATTTCCCTTGTGGATTAATTTTTTTATCGTTATTAAAGTGTAAAACAACCAAACGTCAAGATGGGTCGGATGCACACACCCGGGTAATTATTACAATTCGATATCTGTGAAAACGATAAAACGTCGTCGACGTCGACACGGCTGCGTTTCACGATACAAATCGCACAACGTTATTTTTTTATTGAACTGATCGATTATCTGTGCCGTCGGTGGTTGATAGTCGACTTGATTCTCTTGTCTTTTTTTTCGGTTTTGTTGTATTTCGTGCGAACTGACCGTATTTTTTTCTATGATGTGTTTGCAGAAAAGGTATCTCCAAATCGGCCCTTCCGTACCGCCGCAGCGTAGCCACCTGGCTGAAATCATCGTCCGAGGATGTCAAGGACCACATTTTCAAATTGGCCAAGAAGGGTTTGACTCCGTCTAAGATTGGTAATGTTCAGGCTTCTTGACTTCATTCCGTAATAGCTCATAGATTTACAACTTAATAGTGCTATGCTGGAAACAGTTAAAAACCTATTTTCCCTTTGATTTGCACTTTAAAGCATGGTTTTAACATTGTCATTTGCTAGACAGTATTTCCCAAGATAACATTTGTAAAGTCAATTATTTTTTATTGTATTGTCATTTGTAGATAGTCAAAAAACGCAAAAATCTTATTAATGTTGATAGTTTGACTATTTATTATTATTTAAAACATACTTAAATCGGTTTTAATTTTTTTTTGTTTATATTGAAAGATTTTTGAGGCGTTTGTCTGAGAGACACAATTTTCATTGTTATATAATTGATTACTTATTACAATTGTATTTATTAAAAATAAATTATGAAATTTGACATTTTGAAAGTTAACTTCTAAAAAACTATTAAATGTATTTGCATTTAATCAATGAATTAAAAATGGTCATCAAACCTTTTTCTAGTAGTTTGACAACAGCTCCATGATGATTCTTTTACATTTATCTGAACACCTTTCTTAATTGGTTTTCAGTTTTTTAAGGTTTATTATGCGGACTTATCGAGGCATTTGTCTGAGAGCTGCTTATCACTTAATTGAAATTTTGTAAATATTTATGTATTGGAAATTATTAAGAGAACATAGTAGAATGTATTTTGTATTTCATTTGGATGTTAAGAAGTTGAAAAATTTTTAATTATAGACATTTATGTTTCTCAACTTGATTTAATATATTTTGTTCATTTTTTGTTTGTCATATAATATAATTAGTATATCAATATATTGATTTTGATTATTCACTATTACGACAAATGTTATCCAAGTTTGGTGGCTACTAAATGGAAGAATCAATATTATTGTAAATAAACTAAGTATTCTTAACAATGTAAAAATAATTGCTCTATGATGATCATCATACATATTATTTCTGACCAACTTATTTAACTGGTTTTCAGTTTCATTAGTTTTACTATGCAGATTTATCGAGGCATTTGTCTGAGAGCTTCTGTTTATTATATTTTATCTATTTGATTATTTACCTATGTAATAAGTATAATTTTATTGTTTAACAGAAGGTTTTTACTAAATATATAATTATCAACTACTTAAGATCAAAATTTACAGAAGTAAAAATTATAATTTATTGAAATACAACTATTATTTTAAAATTTAGTATAGATTGCTTATAACTTATAAGTTGTACTTTCTATGAAATTGAAAATAAAGAAGGAATAATGCTCTATGATGATTTTTATACATTATTTTCTGAACACCTTTTTTAATTGGTTTTCAGTTTTTTAAGGTTTATTATGCGGACTCATCGAGGCATTTGTCTGAGAGCTATTAATCTTTTAAATCAAATTGTTTTTAATTTTTATTGAATATATTGAATATTAAAATTTTTTGACAGGTGTTATTTTGCGAGATTCCCATGGTGTGGCTCAAGTAAGATTTGTGACTGGAAACAAAATTCTTAGAATCATGAAGGCTATGGGTTTGGCTCCAGGTCTCCCTGAAGATTTGTACCATTTAATCAAGAAAGCTGTAGCAATCAGAAAACATTTGGAAAGAAACAGGTAATAAATTTAATATTATTTATTCATTCAACGTATAAGCTATAACATTGTTTTTCTTACTGTTTTGTTTAGGAAAGACAGAGATTCCAAATTCCGTTTGATTTTGGTTGAATCGCGTATTCATCGTTTGGCAAGGTACTACAAACGCAAATCAAAGATCGCCCCCAACTGGAGATACGAATCCAGTACCGCTTCTGCTTTGGTTGCTTAAGTAAACTGTTATTTGTACGAACATTTGAAAAAAATACAATTTACAATTTAAGTTCACCAATGTTCATTTTATTTTATTTTTTGAATCCTTAAAATAATTCTTTTTTTATTATCAACTTGGAAATGAGTAACCTGATATTAAACTGTTGTATTAGATTTAACTAGTCATATGTTTGAGTTTCTCTCTTTGTACTAGCTATTTCTATTTAATTGGAAATATCATATCCTTAGGGGTTGTCTTCAATTTAATCTAATAAGTATGTGATTGGAATAATTAAAAAACCTTTTAATTTATCACAATTTTTTGATTATGTAATTTTATAATAAAATATGGTACTTGACTTGAGAAGATATTCACACTAGCATATTAATGTGTACCTGAATATGATGGCTTATTAAGAGACAATAAAATTTAACTTCTTCAGTACTTAAATTATATCTGCTATATTGACTAAATTATGAGAATTATTTGGTAAATCTATATTATTGTATTATAAATTAATGTTTTATTTTTTGTTTAAAAGAAATTATTATAATTACGATTTATGTTATTGTAAACATTTATCATGGTTTTAATCTTAAACATAAAGTAATAATACGTATAATTGTATCACAAACACAATAAAAAAAAAATAATAAATTATCTGTCAATAAACTTAAACTATAAATACCCTTAAATTTAGTTGTATCTTGCATAATACAAGTATAGTCTTAAGCTGTATGTACTGCACTTGTTTATATTATGTATTATAATTGGTCAAGTTCTATCGTGTAATTCTTTGGATTTTCAATTATTCCAATGTTAGTATTGATAATTTTCAATTGACTTAGTAAAAAGTTAAGCTACATCATAGAGGTCTCATCTTCAAATGTTTGGACAGTTATTTTAAAATAAAAGTACAATTTAATTCCATCCAACATTTTTATTATTCTTTCAATAATTATAATAAAATATTTTACATTTATAAATTTATTTATAAAAAATGTAACATATTATATTTCTAAAAGTGAACTTTTCAAGCTGTTGTTAAAAAAATTATTAATTTTTAAAGATTTTTTTGTCTGGAAACATGTACTATTGCTTCTCAAGTATACTTTTTAGGTCACTAAAATCCTAGCTCTAATTATAATATTTTATTAATTTCAATGACATACAATTTTATCATAAGTATAATTTTGGAATAGGTTTATTTACTTAGCTTTAATATAGGTCTTATAGGACCAGAGTAAAAATTTGTATCTAAACTATTAACAAATGTTTAACTAGATACAAATGAAAGTCAATGGTTTCTGTTTGAGTCTAATATGGATCTGGATTGTCTACTTGTTGATCATTTTGTTTATGAATATCTACATTGTTTGGAAGTGGAACATCTTATTTAGTAACTTTACAAAATTTAAAAATATCAAATTTTTTTACTTAAAAAAGAAATTATTATACTTAACTGTAAAAATATATAAATGAAAAAGAAACATTAATTAATAAATGATAATGATAATTGTCAGTGTGACAATAATAAGTAAACGGTCAATTAATAATATATTATAATGAACAAACTACAGAGTAAAGATACAATTCAACTTTCAAGTCTACTATACCAGTGATCTCAGAGAACAGTGAACATAACTACACAAGTCTCATATGTTTTTTGTTTTCGATAAAATTATTGATTAATATAGAATATAGATAATAAACTGTATTAACCTTCACCATTGGGTTTTTTTGTTATTTGAGCATAAATCTAAAAATAAATACGATATCTATTGCAAATATAACAGCTGATAAGCTGTAATAGACTTGTTATAAATTAACATAAATAAATAATTTTATTAGTTGTAATTAAATAGTTTCAATAATTCGAATAAGCCTCGAGCAAAATTGTTTAAAAAATAGGGAGCTAAGGAAAAGTTAGCAGAGCTAAGCCTTTCCATAATTGCGCTTATATGTAGGAATCAGGCTCTATTATTTGAAAAATTTCGGACTGTATACTTAATTTTATTGCTTTAAACGGAAGTTTGGTTCTCGCTACTGTATTGAAAAAAGAAATGTATTACACATATATATTATATATACATGTATATAATAATTTAATAGAACAATAAAATACTTTTGACTGATAACAATGTTTGAAAATTAATAGAAAGAAATTATAATTCAGTATACCTAATTTAAATATTTTAAAAATCAAGAAACACTCTTATTTTCTAGTAGCTGGCACATTATTACATTTTTGTTTTATAGACCGTAGTGCACACACGTTCAAATCGTAGTGCATACTTGATAATTCGTGGTGCACATTGTGTGTCGTAGTTGCTCATAAAAAAAAGAGCCTGGTAGTAATAATATATTATAAATAATTGGGCCATAAACGAACAACGATCTCGGTGACGTATGTACTCCGGGAAGAGTGTCATCGATAGGCAATAACTTTATAACAATAAAGTTATTATAATAAACGTTTATTTGCCAATAACAGTTAACAACATTTTTTCAATTTTATAAAATAAAAAAAAAAAATAAATAAATAACAACTACATTTTTTTTCAATAAGCATAATGTCATAATACTTCATGTCCTCACGACAGTGAAAAGTGGATAATAATATGGTGAGTTAAAAATCAAGGTTAATACAAATAAAAAAAAAAAAAAAAATTAATGTTACACGATACAGTAATTAAATAATTTTATTTTAATTGATTTTTAATTAACAAAACTGCATAATATGAAAAGCACCTATTATATTTTATATTGGATGAAGTATATAGTTGCACACCCTTGTTCCTTGCATTTCGCAAATGACGTCCTTGCATACTAGATATCATAAAAATATATCTGGTATATGGGCTATCAAAGTATATAAACTTATTATTATATTATGCATCTACTAATAAATACAACTGTGAACTGGTATAATAATAATTATAATATATTATGTTTTAAAGTGAAACATTGCATTAACATTTAGCAATAATTGTGAACGGAGTAACTTATACCATCGATAAAATAATGTGTAATAATTTGTATTTAAAAACACGATCAAAGACAGGTTAGGTATTACACATTTTTATGACACGCGATGCGTGGGTTTAATTTTGATTTTAATTAGGAACCTACCATTATTTATTTCTATATTAATATTGGTACTTAATAAACAGTAACTTGTTAGTTATGCTCGAATCATGCGATCACGACATCTAGTTAAAACAATACAACACACACACACACACACGTGAAATTAGTAATATGATAATATTATTTTACGAGAGTACGAAATATACTTCGTATTCATAGTTAATGTTCAATGATCGGTCTAAATTTTAAGACGATGCCGTTTTTCGGTGTAATAATTCCTGCTTCACTCCTTATGTTGACGGGAATTTCGGTTTGCTCACACGGTAAGACTTCGAACTTTGACAATATATTTGACAGGACCAATTTCATCTCTGATTCCGCGAACCGTTTGCCTATACGTTTAATATAATATATAAAATATAGGTATTTAGGTACAAATCGTAAATAAATAAAATGCGCGATCGTATTGATATAGGTATTATAAGTTATGACTTATGATTCATAACATCATACTCTTGCATTATTATTGACTGAAATGTGAATGTTATCACATGACGAAACGATATTAAATACGCGTAAATCATAATATAATATTACCTATGCACAGTCGAGGTCCGTCGCCAAACGGCAAGTAAGTGCCATTAGGTCGTTGAGATTTTTGTTCCATAGAAAATCGTTCGGGATCAAATCTCATCGGATCGGGATAATATTTTGCATCATGATGTATGCTGAACATCGGTATAATAAGCTTTTGTCCCTTTTCAATAACAAACGATTCGTCGGGTAGAGTATACGTTTTTGTAGCTACTCTCATTATGTTTAAAGCGATGGAATACTTGCGAGCAGTCTCTGAAATTCGATAAATGATTAATTGAAATAAACGACGCGTCACGTAATATTAATTGCTTAAAAAATTAACTTTTATCTAAACTCTAGATGTTGTTTCTATTTTATCTAGCAAAGTGCATTGAAGATGCTATCAGTTGAAAACTGATTTCTATCTTGTTGATATTGAGACGAACTACTTAATATATGTATGACGTTTATAATACTATAATTATTTAATCGAGATAATGGATTGTTCTAAGCACTGAATAGTTGAAACTTGAAACGTCGTCACTATTAAAAAAAAAATACGACGCATGGAATTATGACTTCGTTACTCAGAGATGAATAATATTATAGGACAACCTCTGTTTTAAAATCATTATCCTTAATGAATAATATTTAACAACTCTGTAATTACTCGTTTAAATTTAGATACTTCAAAATTTCTAAAAAAAAAAAAATCATCTGAATATTTTACAATAAAAAAGGAAGGTTCTGAGTTTAAAAATTGAAGTTCATGCGTCGTTTCAGCAAACTCGTGATATTGTACAAAAATCTAAGCATTAAAAATATGGTCTTTATGTATCTATACTTGAAAATTTCTGGTAGGAAAAAAGGATGGCGAGGATGCTGAATCGCCCTGTTTATAACTCATGAATATTTTCGTACCTTCCAACACCATGTTGGTATAATGGAGGTTCGTCAAATAATCACTGTTTAACTGTCCGTCGTGTTTAGCTTTCGTCGAGCATATTTCCGCACGCAATTTGTCTTGGATTTCTACGTTCAGCGCCAATTCGTAAAGGCAAAAAGATAGCATAGACGACACGGTTTCCGAACCAGCGGTGAACATGAGAATAGCATTAGCGATGATGTGAGCATCGGTGAATTTATCTGCAAAAGAAATAGTATTATTTTTGAACGTTTAATTTTGCTTTTTTTTTTTTTTTGGTAATAAATTTTTGAATCTAGAGTTTAAATTTTAGAGGCACATACAATATTTATGTGCAATTATATTCATTTATTTATTATGTCAAAATTCGAAACGATAAACAATAATTTCATATTACTATTAGTCACCATTAATACAATGTAATATATTTATATATATTAGGCAATAAGCATAGATGGATAAAGATGCACTATCTGTACAGTTAATAATCTTAATAAAGCGAAAAAGCAAATAACAATATAATAAATTAACATTTTTTTTTCTTTTCCACTTGATAACTAGAAATTATCATAAATAGAAATTTCAAATACATTTTACAGGTATTTAATTATTTCTTATTTTTATATGCAAAGAATTGTTTGTATTCGATCATCAAGTTTTGGTTAATTGTTTAAATGATCTTATAATATTTTAATTATGTTAATAAATTTATAATAGATTTAGTCCTCACCTAATTTTAAATTATATGCATATTATATGTTTTTATTGTATAGTTTAATAGTAAACAATTTAGCTGCTTTAAACGAGTCGTTTGTTTGAAGTAAGGTTTTTATATCTTTCTGACTAAATAAAAAATTATAAAAATATACGATTCTTTCAATTACAAATCATTGCATTTATCATTCTATAGCCACAACAACAGTACCTTCGTTGGTCGAGTTTTCCTTCAACACTAATTCTTTACGCGCCTGCATAAGGGTTTGTGTTAAATCGTTTCGGAACACGTTGTGCTCTTCGCGGTACTTGATAACGTCTTTGAACACCTCGTAGAAAAAGTTGGTAGCTTCTTCCGAGAACATTTTGATTTTCAATAGCTTAATCAATCGCGGGCAGATCATCATCAGCACCTGTACGATTGCCTGTCTCGGGGTGGTCTGGAAAATAAGCTTGACGTACCGGCGGAACTCAGAATCGTCGTTCTTGATCGTATCCAGTTTCAGACCGAATGCGCACGTGCCAATCACGTCTGTAGAAAAACTCCCAGTAATCGTTTTAACGTCTAGTCGGTCAGTATTCTCGAGCGTCCCGACGATGCTGGATACCATATCGTCGGTACATTCGTTGATCTGGTTGTGCGTGTCCTTCAACTTGCCGGACGTGAAGCCCGGACTCAGCTTTTGGCGCATCGTCCGCCATTGTTGGCCATTGGCGAAGAACAAACTGTTGGCCAACACGGTCGTGGACGGGTCCAGGTCTAAACCGTGGTCGGTGAAGTACGAAAAATCCTTTACCAGTATCGTGTTGATCAGCTCCGGGTCGCGGACCAATAGCATCGGCTCCGTCATTTGATAGAATCCTAACAGTTTGACGTCCGGAAATGAATAGTATAGCCTCTCGAACGTGTCGATCGGATGTTCAAGTTTCGTCATCATTTTGAATGTGTTGCCAAACAATGGCACGGGCTGTACGTAAGGGATGTTAACTTTTCGCCATTTACCGTACGTCGAAATGGAATAACAGTAGATGGCCGTGCAAATTGCAATCAAGCTAAGATAGGTGACATTGTCGAGCAGGAAATCGGTCAGAAACGATATCATGATCGACTTTTATAACGACCTAGGTTATTGAATTGAATGTTTATTAACAAAAAATACGAAAGCCGCCACAGCTTTTTTGAAAGTTCAAATTAGTACTGAGCTGCTATATGCGCATATTATTACGTACGTGTTGGTATCGCTAGCTTATTTTGTTTGTTATACTCCATCTCTTTTGTGATTATTTATTTCGTTTTGCATGTTTATGGAGTGGAAGGGATATACGTTAATGATTACAAAATATGTGAACAAGGCCATTCGTTTGCGATATGGTTCGAGAGCACTGAATACATAAACACTCTGTGGTAATTGATGTTCTACTCAGCCAATAAACAAACTGACATTTTGTTCTTCGTAAAATATGTTTTAACCATTATTTAATATATGTACTATGTAGTCAGAAGAGTAATTATATTTAGACACAGAGCTCAATATTGGAAAAAAAAAAATATAAACTATCTTTTATCAATAAGGAAACATATAATAATACGGTTTACCATAATCATCTTAATGGTTTGGCCTACAATTTAAGTTGTGTAACTCATTATTTATTTGCGAAATTGGTTTTCCGTGTTCGCGTAGTTTCTAATTATAGTTTAAATATTTATTCTATTTTTGAAAGTTTATTGATGAATGATGACGCTGCTGATTATAAAGTAAAAAATACTAAATAGCATTTGGTGATGTCCACCTACGATAACTAACGAATAGATAATATTGTATTATGCTTGAAAAGTCATTGATCCCTAATAAATGGCGTAGTAAACATTTAATTTACACGTCGGCAAGAAGGACTGGGAATTCAACAAATAAAAAAAAATATGTTTTAATTTTGATCAGAATAAAAGAGGTACCCGTCGGGTAGTCTAAATTTTTTTTCTTTTTTATTAATCTATATCATATGTTATAATACCTTTGTAAAACATTTATTTACTAAACATTGTTCTGTGATTAAACTATTATTAATCCGTGCCTATCATGTACTGTTGTAAACATATCACAACTCACAAGTCAATTAAATACATAAAATCATTAATCGAATTTCGTTGTATCTATGATGTTGTAAAATTTTACAATAGCGATGTCGATTTTATTAATTTAGCTTAATATATAATAAAAAAAAAAATTCACTGAAAATTGTTTGAACTATAAGTTACTTATACGTGAATAAATTTTATTGAAAATTATTACTTGGGTACATTTTAAACATTAATAGATTATTTCTATAACACTCAATTCAACGAATATATTATAATACGCATTATATTTAAATATTTAAATAAATACCTATAATATTCTTAGACTATGATGAATGCAGTAATGCAATGAATTGATTTTACAATGAGTTTAACTTAAAAAAAATTGTTCTGTATTTGCTAACTTAACCAACGCGTTACAACGTGGACGAAAGTTTTATGATTGAAAGAAATAATGTATCGATAAGGTGGAATCACATTCTCTTCGTGCCCACTCAAGTAAGTAGCGGCGGTGGATTACTTTGATCTGGAGACAATTGCCTGAATAGGCGTGTCAGATGTGGGTGGCGAGAATAATCGTTTTGAAAAGAACGTAATTACGTTGATCGATCAATTTGGTATTTTATTTATACTCGGTGAGTGATCGCTACAGTCAACTGCTGGTGGCATCAGGTTATAATTGCTAGGTAGACATCCGCAACTGTACAGTGTACGGATATCCGGCGTATGAAAATGATCGTTGATAATAATTATTAGTTCGTACCGAGGAACAATTTCCGGATAGGTAACTGTAAAATACTTGGTGATTTGGGCGCTGTCGGCCGCTAGTGGTGATCCACCGTACATGGAAATTCTCGTTGGGCATGCAACTTTTTGACGTTTGTGCTTTGTGAACGTGGCGCCAAGTAAGCGCCGTATTTTATTTGTCAAGTATGCAATCGTATGTACACGGAGACAACTTTTTTGAATAAGTGAATCTGGTCTCGACGGTATCATTGTTTCTTGATTTTATCGTTCTATAGTGAATTTAAGAGATGCTTTCAGTTGAAAAGTGTGGGGCACGAAATGTTGTGTCCAAGCGCAGCGCACCGGTATACAGGCCAAACAGACTGCATTGAACACGTGTTCTGATTGTCGTAAAGAAAATAAATGCTATTTGACGTGTAAACGATTTTTCTTTTTTAGCTTTGATTGTAATTATTTTAAGAGCCAATGGTTTTACCGGGTTTGGTAGGTTTTTAGTGTGTATGTCGTCACAACGTTAAAATACTAAAATTATGATGAATTATCAATAATTATAAAGTTTTGTATTGCATAGGATTATTTCATGTGATAATTAATCTTAAACATATTTTATAGTTTATCAAATATAAGCTTCTTTAAAAAATATATTTTATAAATTTAATAAAATAAACAAATACCTAAATAACTTAAACTCTAATAAATATAATAATACATTTTATAAATTATTATTATTATTTTTTTTAAATCGTTCATTTCACGAAATGGAAACGTCTTTTTTATATTACAGCATAATACACGAAAATATTTAACGAAGTTAGCAAATTTGAATCAAATTTATGTGATTAATTTCATACACTCAAATGTATATTATTTAGTAACTACTTCGACATTTCAGTATTGCAGTGAGCAGCTAAAAGTACCTATCTTTCTTCGGATACATTACACATTTGGAATAGTTTTTGTCAACCTCTGTGTTTTTTTCTTTTTATAAATAAATATATTATTAGAAACATTATTAAAAAGGATGATGGGCTGGTGAATACCGCCGTTGGTCTCTATAATCCAACTCAGATTACAGCATATCATGTTAAATTACAAGTATCTAACGTCAAATGGATCATCTTGTAGTCTAAATAATAATATATAAAATGGTACGCATGAATAATTCATAATATAGATTTTTATTGTATTTAATTTGTATAATTATAATATATTATGGTACACTACAATAAATAACAGCCTTAAAACATTTTGTTTTTTTTTTTTAAATCATCAAGCGCATATAATATAATTAATATATAAATTAATATAAATAAGCTCATCGTATAATTCGTATAAAAGATTCTAATATATAGATATTATCACGTGGGGGCGAGGGCACAGATTTTAATAACATTGGAATAACAATCAACATTTGAACATTTAAAAAAGTTAGAAAAAAACAAAGTAAAACAATAAAATTATATTATTTTATTTTTTTGTCCAACTACAGGTAGATATAATAATCAATGTTATATCTTAAATAACAATAAACAGCTGCAAAAATGAGTCCTAAATTTCGAAAATTTTGCATTGAAATCTTTATCCTTCATACACAGCTGTCGATAAACCACAAAACATACTTAGTATACCACATTATCGCTATATACCTACTGATTAAATTGTATACTGAGGGATGTTTAGAGTGATGTGACTAGAGGGGGCGGAAATGAATAGACGATCATATTGATATTTAATGGTTTAATCTATTTAGTAATAATAGATATACATATAAATAATAATATATAATACATATAAATAAATAAATATATATATGTATGTATGTATGTATATATACCTGGTATATAGGTAGGTTAAATACAGTCTCTTTACTCATAAGATAGTTTTGTTTATCGGGGACCCTCCTCCCCTGAAATTATTATTTTTTTGTTATACGATCACTACAGTTTGATATAAATAGGACTTATAGATATATTTATATAATTACCACATACAGTCGATGTGTGGTGTTAAATTAAAATTATTTACGATAGAATAATGTGATAAGCAATACACTACCTACAGGGTGATGCTTTTATCGTGAGCCATCTGGTAGTATGTTAGAAAATATGAGAGATTTTTTAACATCCAAAAAAAATATATGCGATAATATAATAAATAATAATCATAGAAAAATGTAAAATAGTATGTTGTTGAATATCAAAGTAATAATAATAATAATAATAATAATAATTGTGGTACTTGAAGTATTCTATAGAAGCGGTTTTCAATTTTTTTGAGGCCGCAATCCCTCTATAATATCACCAAGATTTTGAGCGACCCTTTTATTATGATAAAATTAAGAAGTAGCGATAAATTAATATGATTATTATTGTATTCAAATAAAAATGATAAGTACCTACTTGATAAATTCATGGAACTAACATTCAAAATAATAATAAGTTTATTTAAAATATATATATTTTTTTTAAAGTGAACATCATATGTAAGTACATGAATATTTTTAAATTTAATGACTTATATATGCAGTTGTTAACTAGAAATTATTTTATCAATCCTTTGTTTTTATAGATTTGATTAAACTCATCCTCATGGTTGGTGATTTATCAAGCCAATTTCTTAATTTATTATTAATTATAGTCATCATTGACAGTTCAGTTTCACACATGTAAGTATGTAGGTAGTTGAAAAAGGAATCAATTTTTTTTAAAGCTTTATTAGTTAATGCGGGATACTCATTCTGATTTTGATCCAAAATTGACATATGTTTTTGTTATCATTAAAAATATGTTCTAGTCCTCTGTTTAAATATAACTCAATTAATTTTTCTTTATTTGATGATGATAATACATTTTTATCTAATTTTATAAATGAATTAATAACTCATCAATTGTTTGAAAAATTGTCTTTCGTTGGATCAAAATATTTGAGAAATTTTTTTTTTTAGTTTTAGTAAATTAATTTTACATATTGGTGATTCTAAAAAGATTGTTAGCAACCCCCAGTTTGAGAATCGCTGTTCTATAGTATAGTCCACGATAAAATAATCACTTTGTGTAGTTTTTATGCTTATAGATTATTATATTACAGTTAAATACAAAAATGATTTAATAAAATAATTAAAAATAATAATATTATCATGGTGGAGAAGGAGGAAACGGCATACGACATACACGTATGTCGTATATACTACAATATATTATTTAGGGTAAATAATACTTGTATATTTTTTACGAACACACGTGGCGGTGTCGGCGGTGGGTAGCAAATATATATTTATGGATTTATGTTTATATTATGATCTCATGTACAATATATGAAGTGTTAAAAATATTTAAAAGATATCGTTTTGTCAACGCATTAAAATTACAGTATGTTTTTCGTTCCCAGTATGTTCATCAGTTTTCGTGACATGAA